GTATGTTGTATGTTTCATCGTTGCTACCCTGCAACCTGACTGGCTCATCTCCTCCCTGTGACCTCTCAGTAAGAGGGTGTCCAGTTGCCTACAGATGGGCTTTAGGTCTCCCCTCTACCTCCCCCTCTCCCATGGCCCCTTGGAACCATCGGTCCCGTTGTTTTCTCCTCCAGACTGTTCATCCAGCCTATCTTATCTAGATAGATCTTCAGAGATAATAATATGCACCCCAAAAGCAAGGTATAGCAAGACAAAGTGACAAAAGAGAACAGAACGATAACAACAAAAAAGAAAACCAATGACCCATAAAAGAATAAATTAATTTTTAAAAAAATTTTAAATTAAAAAAAAGAAAAACCTGTAAATAGATCAAGGTCTGATTTTTGACATCTAGGCACATCCTCCAGTCAAGTCTGATGGGGTGCCACACTCCCCCCGTTGTTCTGCCTCATGCCTTTAGTGTTTTGCCTCAGTGTCGCAGGGTCAGTTCAGGCCAATCCCGACACTGAGTCTCCAGTGTTATCCCCTGTAGGGCCATGGGTCAGCGAGGGATGCCTTGTCTCATAGTGGGATCAGCCATATGGTCTGCTCTGTGCATTGGCTATTCGGAGTGGGGATATCATCCTCACTGGACCAGGATGTGCTCCACTCTCTCTTCCTCCACATTCATTTGCTCCATTCATTTGCTCCCATGTGCTCTAATCAGACATGTCCCTCTCCCCTAGCTGCAGCTTCAGTACTGTCCTCTAAAGTAAAGTCTTCTGGGGGGAGGGGCACTTGTCCATGTAGGTGGTATAGGGGCCGAACCCTCAGGCCCCTCCACTGGTCACCCTCTCCATGCCGCCTCCCAGAACACTGAATTTAAGTCTGGTCCCTCTTTCCCTGTGAAGACACAAACAATACCTTCCCCTTGGGTGGGCCAGTGCCCTATTCCCCTGCCACACATTGCTTTTTTTTTTGTTCCTTGTCTCCCCACCCCCCATTCTTTTTAGTTGGTTACCATCTGTACCCCTAGGTTTGGTCTGGCCCCTGCCATACTCCCTGGACCTCACCCCGGGAGTGTTTGCATACAGTAGCTTTTTCGCTGGCCATGTACTTTATATGCTCTTTACAAAATGGAAACTGTATTTGGTTCAGATCATGCTGCTAGGTGACAGGATCACTACACACACTTCGGTGTTAGGCCAAAAATGTGGACTTTCAGTCAATACATTCAGATGTCTCTGTCTGGAGAACATAAGTGGAGAGCTTCAAAAATTATCACAGAACATAGACTTAGCTGGACCTAACATTTCTGAGGCTTCTACCAGTATAAAAGGAATAAACACAAGAATTCTCAACTTTCTCACAAGCTACTGTATGGAATATGGTTCCAGGTGCTCAGGTAAGGAAAATATCACAACAAGTACTTTTAATTAAGGAGACAAAATATGACTGGCATTTTTTTGAGAAATGTCAAGTTTTTTCTTTTCATTTAGCATAATTTTATGGGAGTAAGTTTTTAATTATTTCCTCTAATAATCCATAGACATGGAATTTATGTTCAAATATCCTACATCCATATATCTCTAATTCCAATCCAGATTTTACAGATTACATCATGAAATTTAAGTATAGAAAATATATTTAATACTGATTTAAGGATATTAAATGCACGTATACAGAATCGTATTTAATCACTACATTATGCAATCATCACCATGTGTTGTACTGTCAACTTGCATCAGTAAAGATTTTGAGGGATCAGTGGAGAGAGGAGCAGGGTCAGTGGACACTACTTGGACTGATGAGCTGGGCCAAAGCTGAGTCAGAGGACGGTGACTTTAGTCAAGAATGGGATGCTAATATCTTGAGACTGTCTGGACTGACCAGAGTGAGATCAAATGGCACCCTAAAGATGACCAAGGTTTAAGATCAGGCTGAAAAGAGTAGCTTGGTATGACTTGGAAGATGCAGGTATCTGTGTAAGAAGACTAGGTGGCCCGTGGATCTTGACTGAAAGCAGAGAATACCAGGAAAATGTTTGCCTATGTGGCTCAAAGGACATTTAATTGTGTGGATCCTAGAAACTTATGGACAAATTTCAAAGAGTGGGAATTTCAGAACATGTAATTGTGCATGTGAAGATCCTATGTGTA